CATGCATACGAAATCAAATTTTCTAACAATTTTAATACAAGAGGACAATCCATAATATATTGACAATGGCACACAATACATGTGTTGAGATATATAAGTAAATGACATTAAACTAAAAAAAATAAAGCATACAACTATCAATTTCATTTTCCTCTTGTTCCTGCTCGACTGCTCTTTTTTCACACCCACTTGAATCAATATTGTTGACTTTTCTCCCTTTTTTCAAGATTAGTTTTCACTTTTGAACCTTTTTTCTTCTTTATTAATTTTGCATGTTCGATTTTTTCAAGCAAATTTAAGGGTATATGATCATTAACCTTTTTTGTTCTTCTTTCGTTCTTCATTGCAGCAGTAGAGCCTGAAATTTTGACTTCTTGTTGAGTAATACACAAATCAAAAGAAGGTAGTTCATCCAACAATTTGTCAAATAAATGTATATCTCTCGTAACCCTCCTCGGAGTATCAATTTCAGCCATTGAAATGGATAAACAAATTCTTGAATCAAAACCCTATGAAAATAGAAGAAAGTGTAGATGTGCAGATATATAATGTTCATAAAAACGAGATAAATATGCAATTAGAAGATATCTGATGGATACAAAATCACAAAAATTGCTCTTGCAGTGATGTAAAAGATCTTGAATTTGAATGAATTTGGGGTGGGGGGGTGGGTGGGGGGGGAATCAGAAAGTATGTGATGTATGAATATTGATGAAAGAGAAAAACTTGATAATGGTAAACATGGGAAAAGATCACAAAAGTGCCTGCCATAATTAATTAGGCATTCAATAATTACTTTCCTATTTAATATTTATTTATTATATTAAATATATATATATATATATATATATATATATATATATATATATATATATAAATTTATTTATTTGTATATAATTAAGTTTGCTATTTATAATCTAATTATATCCATATAACATGAAGAAAAAAAAAATGTAGCTATTTTTCTTGAATATATATGGATGTTTGTCATATTTTGAAGTTTTTCCAATGTTTAATGGGACAAAAGTTGTCTAAAATGTGAAGCATAATTTATGAAATATTATGGTGTAAAGATATAAATTTATGCCTTGCAAAAAAATTTACCTAGTCCAGGTAAGTCTTCTAGAGAAAATAACCAAAATGATCGTTAATAATATATTGAGAATGCTTTATTTTGATTCTTAATATATTTCACTTTTCAAAGTATAACAAATGTGTTTATTTTGGTTCTTAATAGATTTCACTTGATTGAAATGGTCCTTCATGTATAACAAGAAGTGTTCATTTTGGTCTTTTTACCCTAAACCTAACAATTTTTTTTTTAAAAAAAAGTGTTAAATTTACTATGGACCTTATGTGGCTAACAAAATTTACCCTTGTTGTCCTTTTTGTTATTTTGAAAAGTACTCCATAAAATGTAATACTATTTTCTCTAGTTTCTCCAACAATATTACTATTTTTCCTTTTCTAAAATATTATTCTACTGACGTAATACCCATTTCTGATTTAAGCAAGAGAAAATAATAAATTTGTTAGAGAAAGTAAATAAAATAGTGTTAGATTTCATGAAATTTTTCTTTGGAGCTTACAAAGAAGACATCAATGTTGAATTTTGTTAGCTACGTGGGGTGGTCCATGATTAAATTTAACATTTTTTTTTATAAATTTGTTAAGTTTAAGATAAATGACCAAAATGAACACATTTGTTAAACATTAATGATCATTTCAATCAAGTGAAATATATTAATGACCAAAATGAACACTTTTATTTAGTATATATATTAAGGACCATTTCAATCAACTAAAATATATTAAGGATCAAAATAAATCATTACCTAAAACCGTTTTGATCATTTTCTCAAGTCTTCTACATGAAACATGCTCTTTCTTCTCATCTCTTACTGTACTTTTATTTAACCATATGAAGGAAACAAGGTGGGGGGTTGAGAAGATTCAAATTCTCACTGCACATACTTTGATCATATTCTAAAATGAATTAGGCAACTTATAATTTTATAGCTATGTTAATTTGAATATAGTTATTGCGTAGCTAAGTTTTCATTTTGTTACACGAAATTCACTAAATTATTTCTTATAATTAAAAAAAATTACTCAACTTACTTAAATATCACGAAAGCCGTTGAACTACTTAATTTTTTGTAGCTAAAAGCTACTTAATTTTGCATTATACATAAAGTCACTAGGAGAAAACAAATGAGACATTTTATATGATGTTTAAACAAAACTGAATTACTCTTTAGTTACAAAAGATATTTTTTGTGATATACTTATATAAAATGGATGAGTTATCCATTATAAAAAGGTAGTGAATACAGTACAATTAAATAAAACTTAAGTGATCATTTGAAAATTGAACTATGCACCATAAGGTGAATATATTAGATTTAAGTTACATTTTCCAATCTCTGTTAATTATGTTTTCGGTTTGAAATGATAACAGGTTGAACTCTTTTTAGAATTTAATTTAGAAAAAAATAGCATAGAAAAAATCTTTTACTTTATCCAAATGTGACGTACCAGATCTATCCTCCTTACTCGTCATATTTATTACGTAAAAACTCACTAAAAAGAGCAAAAAAATATATAATATTCTTTTATTAGACACACTAAAAAGCAAATGCAATAGATAACTCAGTTGAATTTTGGTGACACTTCACTATTTGCTCTCTTTTCTTCAAATGTGGAAAAAAAATGCGATTAGATTTCATATTGGACTAAAAAAAATATAGACTTATGTATTACCTACAAATTAAAAGCAAGATGTAGACAAAAATAACAATAATAAATTCAGTACAATTTCATAAGTAAGATCTGAAAATAGTAAATTATTCATAATTTTATCTTTATTTTTATAGAATAGATCAAAAGTTGTTCCTCACTGACCCTCAACAATCCACCTTCTTTATTTGGACTTGACAATGTGAACAAGCTCACGAATGCGAACTTTATAATAAGATACATATCAAAACCTCAATTTCTACCAAGCTAGATGGAAACAAAAAGAATCTAGGAAAATATTGTTTGATATTCCTATTATTCTATGTATGCACCTCTATTTAACTAGTCACAAATTTTTAAAAAGAAATTAATATTTTTAAAATTTATGATCTAAAACAAATTTTAGATTTATAAATAATTATAAGAAAAATTAAAAAATTAAATTATTTTTAAATATAGAAAAGTAATATTATATAAGCATACTGCATATAACATAAATTGAAATAGTAAAATAGTGATACATTGATTCGTTCTTATCTTGTTAGTTTTGTTGAGTAATTAAATTCCAAAATTACTTTGGAACGTCACCGCAAGTCCACAACACATGAAACATGCTCTTCAATATTTAATTCTTCCCTAATTTTTCACTTAACTTTTAACCCCAAACAAATTAATTAAAACAAAGAAAAAGAAAAAGGAAAAAGAAGAATTCCCTCATTGGAAATATTTTTAAATTCCAATAATGATCCGTTACTTGGAGTAGACAACCTAGTCCTAACTCTTAAGAGTAAGAGTATATCATCTAATTATGACTCAAATTAAAGTTTCTAAGTGTTTTGTCTTTTTATTTTTTATTTATTATTTATTGGGATGTGCCATAAAGGGGAAAGTGGTAGTCTAATTAAGAATACTCTTATCACTTTGTAAGTGGGACAACACGAACAAATATACTATATACCATATAATTAACAAAAAAAGGAGTAAAGGTCATCCTCACATATATTCCTATATAAAAAAAACAAAAAAACAACAACATATATTCCTATCTTCTTCTCATCATATAAAGAAAAAGATTTTATTTTTAAGAAAATAGAAATAATATTTAAAAATTTGAGTTATATTTGATTATGAATATAAATTAAAGTTGATTTTGATTTTTTATGAATAATTTGAAGAGAAAATAATTTTTTGCTGTATGGTGAGTAATTACTATATGGCAAGATAATTTCCTTGATCTTAAATAATTTGAGTTATATCTAGATTATTAATTACTCTCATTACTATATGGCAAGATAAATTTAAGATCAAGGAAATTATTTATTTGTTTGTTTCAATTGAAAAAGTAGTAGGTACTGTTTTCCCTGGTGATTTTAAATATACAATAGTGGAGTTTAATTGGTGATCCAAATCAATCACAATTATGAGTAGTTATATCACAAAGTCACTCAACTATATTTTGTTCTGTAAACCAAAAGTCAATTGACTAAGGATAGTTTTTTTTAGAAAAACACTCAACTTTGTTTTATAACCTGAAAATCATCTAACTTTGTTTTATAACTAAAAAGTTATTCAACTATTGTTATTTCATCTAGATAAATCACTCAATCAATTTAAATAATATTTTTAAAAAAGGTGCCCATTTTAACCATTTTATTATTGATGGAGCCACACGTCCTGTTTCTTCTTTGCTAAAATATTACACCATGTAAATGAATAAGTAATTTTCTTATTATGTACATATAAATTACACTATTTATAATAGAGTGACTTTTAAATTATAAAATAAAATTGAATAATTTTTCAAGAAAATAATCCACATTTGAGTCCATGAGTCATAAATGATCATCTAAGATATTATCTTTTTAAAAAATTACAATGTATAAATTATGTTCCGCTACTAACTCTACTGTGCTAAGCTCTAAACTCTTATCGATAAGTACTAACATTACATTCTTTCTCATCTAACAATCAAATCTAGGAGCTGTAGAGTTGTACCAATCAAAATTTTAAAAAAAAATTATTCTATACTTTAACGCTGTAAAGAGATTTGTAAGGGTCCACAATGCAGCAAGGCTAATAATTACTTATCCATTTTAGTATGAGCTTTTAGCTTATTACACCCTCTTACAAGCAAGGTACTTGATTCAATTTGTCCCCACCCAGGCCACCCTCTTTACTCAATTTTTTCTCACTATATATACCTTGCATGCATGCTTCACTAAATATCATCATAAACAAAGCTTAGTAACTTAAACCAATCTTTTCTTTTTCTTCAATTAAATCCCAAATTAGCAACAAAAAAAATGGCAAGTCATGCTTTGGTGCCTGCATCAACAACTCGCGGTATGAAGCCTACTCAACAGGCAATGGCTAAGCGAGAACGCCCCGTTTTCTCCTTGTCTGATGATCATGCTATGTCTAAGAAAATCCTGGATACTCATAATCCTGATGGTCGTGAAGTTGATGTTAATGTCATTCTCCACATTGCTGAGGAGGTGTTTCAACATGCCTATCCTGCTGGCATGGATGGCGTGCTTCATGTAACATTTTTCGTATACGTTTAGTTTCTTGTCAATACAACAATTAAAGTTTTGTTGGCTCTGTTTTGGTATGTAGCAGCAATAACTAACTTTTATGTTTCCAGGGCGCGGGAGCTCATCATCTTGAAGGTAATATTGAAGCATTGAAGTTGGAAGAGAAGGCCTCACTTGCCTTTGATGGCATACTCGAAGGATTGGCTTATATCATACACAAAGTCTCTTGCGAGGTAGTACTTCATACGATCTCCTCCCAATTTATAGGACATGCTATATACTGGTTACAAATCACAAGTTTCAAAAGTCTTTCTAAAATTCCGTACAGAGTCATTGATTGCACTACAATTGTGATTGCAGTTAACATGCAAGTGCTCAAGTGGAGGTCATGATACACATTCAACAACAATGTCAGTCTTAGGGATGCTCTCTGGCTACCAATGGGACGCAAAACTAGTCATATCTTTAGCAGCATTTGCCGTTACCTATGGTGAATTCTGGCTGGTGGCTCAGATGTTTGCCACTCATCCCTTGGCCAAATCTGTGGCCATCTTAAAACAACTGCCAGATATCATGGAACATCATGGTAGCCTCAGGTCTCGATTCGATGCTATCAATGAACTCATCAAAGCCATTTTGGAAGTAACCAAAATCATAATCGAATTCAAGAAGCTTCCTTCTCAGTACATACGTGAAGATCAACCACCTTTGTCTGTCGCGATTACTCACATTCCTACTGCTGTTTATTGGACTATTAAAAGTATTGTTGCTTGTGCTTCCCAACTTACTACCCTTCTTGGAATGAGCTATGAGTAAGCCTCCTCTGTTTTAAACAAAACTAATATTTTTTTCATCTAATAATTTGGTCCAAATTGAAGTAATTAACAATTGATTGATGCTGCAGCATGATAGTAGCAACGACAGCAGACACATGGGAAATGTCAAGTTCCACACACAAGCTGAGAAATATAAGCGAACACCTCAGAGCTGAATTAAACCGTTGCTATCAGCATATTCGTAAGTAACAAAATCATGATTTATTAAGTACTAAAATTGGGATTTTGTGATGGGCTTGTATTTACATCAATGTTCTGTGCAGAGGACAAGATGCACGTCGAGTACTTCCAAATGCTGGTGCACCTCTTTGAGGCAACACAATTCGACAACATGAAGATAATGAGGGCGATGATTTATATCAAGGATGATTTACTTCCACTTGAAGTCGGAACCACTCACACGAGGGTACATTCATAACTTGAAATTATGATCAATTTTTCGCTTTCATCTTACTTTTCCATGACTTGTATAATTCAATTTCAGGCTAGTGTTGAAGTGCTAAGAAGAAAGACTGTTCTACTGCTGCTGTCAGATCTTGAGGCTAGCCATGAGGAGATATTAGTACTGTCTCAAATTTACCTTGAGTCAAGGTCAAGGCCAGAATTTCAATACGAAATAGTGTGGCTTCCAATTGTGGATCGATCAAAGGGATGGAATGACGTGCAGGAAGAAAAATTTAAGGAGTTGCAAGCACTTATGCCGTGGTACACATTGCACCATCCATCCTTGTTAGAGCCAGCAATCGTCAAGTTCGTCAAAGAAAAGTGGCATTTCTCCAAGAAAATGATGCTTGTAACCTTGGATCCACAACAGGGCAAAGTTGCCTGTCCCAATGCTATTCACATGGCTTGGATTTGGGGAAATTTGGCCTATCCCTTCACTATTTCAAAAGAGGAATCTCTCTGGAATATGGAATCTTGGAGACTTGAGCTCGTTGTTGATGGCATTGATCCCAACTTAATCGATTGGGTAAAATCTTATACTAACATCCCCTCATATGCAAGCAATTTTTTTTTCACTTATATATATACTCAGTATAATTTTCTTGTCAAATACTAATTCTTTATAATTTTGATTTTAATCAGATGGCAAGTGGTAAGTTTATCTGTTTATATGGAGGAGAAGACATGGATTGGATCCGTAATTTCACAAAATCAGCACGAAGCGTGGCACAGAGAGCTGGGATCGACCTACAAATGTTATATGTAGGAAAGAGCAACAACAAGGAGAGAGTTAGAAGGATCAACAGCATGATAACCGCGGAAAATTTGAGTTACTGCTTGATGGACTTAACATCAGTTTGGTACTTCTGGACAAGAATTGAGAGCATGTTCTACTCAAAAATGCAGCTAGGGAAAACCATCCAAGAGGATAAAGTTATGCAAGAAGTGTTGACAATGCTGAGCTTTGATGGAAGTGATCAAGGATGGGCACTCATAAGCAGGGGATCATTCGAGATGGCTCGAGCTAAAAGTCAGATAATTACCAAGACATTGGAAGACTACACAATTTGGGAAGAAGACGCAAGATCTAAAGGATTTGTGCCAGCACTTATTGAATATTTCTTGCAATTGCACACTCCTCAGCATTGCAATCGCTTAATTCTTCCAGGACTTGATGGCGATATCCCTGAAATGATTGTTTGCGCTGAATGTGGAAGGGCAATGGAGAGGTTCTTCATGTACCGTTGCTGCACTGATTGAGCTGCTTTCTTCTATTGCTTGCTTTGGTTTTCTATGTTTTTCTTGTCTAAAATAATTGGTTGGTCTTTTGTACCACTTTAGGTTTTTTTATTATTATGTTGTAATGTCTGGCTATCAAAGGATTCCATGTCTTTGATCTGCTCTAGACTACTATTTGAGTGTGTAATAATTTATAGGTAATGAAATTGAGGGCACGTCTTATTCTAGTTATTTTTCGTCTTTTTTTTTTATTGAAAAATCTTATTGATACTTAAATAATAAAAGTGTGTTATCTCTCAAAGAATGAGATAATTACACTTACACACTTCAATATGGTATCATAGCGGGCAAAGATCTTATAAATGAGATGGTCAGAATTGTTGGAGAAAAAGTACAGAGAAAATCTGAAAATAATAAAAAAGAGAAGGAAAACTGCGACTACTTTTAATTTCTGATTAATTGGAAGTTACAGAATAACAAAATATGCCCACATGATATATAGGCTAAGTGATAAATAACTAATCCTAAAATATAGGTCCTATAACCCACTAAAACACTATTTCAGCAATACTAGGAAACCACCTAACAGAATGCAGAAGACTAGTTCAACCAAACTATCCATATCCTAATTTACATGTTTTTACTTTGTTTTGAATCACTTTTCAACATTCCCTCTTGATTCAAAACTACAGACACCAAATAATCCTCTGAAATAGCAAAATTTCTCTTTAGATAAAGCCTTAGTAAGTACATCTACTAGCTGGTCTTGTATCTTGCAATACTCCAATAATATTTCCTCATTTGCTACCAAATCACGAATAAAATGGTAACGAATATCAATATGCTTTGTCCTGTTGTCTTGGTCATGGAGATAGTTGCTTTATTGTCACAAAATATCTCTGTTGCTCCCTTCTGCACTTGTTGAAGGTCTGCTAATACTCTTCTTAGCCCGACGGCTTGACAAGCTGCTGAAGTTGCTGCAATATACTCAACTTTTGAGGTTGACAATGTAGTTGTAGCTTGCTTCTTTGAACTCCAAGTCACCGCACCTGAGCCTAAAGTGAAAATGTTTGCTGAAACACTTCGTCTGTCATCCAATGAACTTCCATAATCGCTATATGTGTACCCACACAATTTGAAATTATTGGTATTTAAGTACCAAATGCCATAGTCTAAAGTTCCAGCAATGTACCGCAAGATTCTCTCTGCTGCTTCATAATGTACCTTTGAAAGTTGTTGCATAAACCTTGAAACAACACCAACAAAAAATGCATTATCGGGTCTAGTGTGCGTCAAATTTATTAGACCTCCAACCAAGCTTCTGAACCTTCTTGCATCTGCTAACTCTTCTTCATTCACCTGCTGTAATTTTTCATTTATATTCAATGGTGTAGCCGCAGGCTTGCAATTGAGCATGCCAAATTTATTGAGAAGGTCTCTGCCATATTTCCTTTGTAAAAGAAATATTCCATCCTCTGTTTGGTAGACTTCAAGGCCCAGAAAATAATGCAATAACCCTATATCCGACATCTCAAACTCATTCATCATTTGAGACTTGAAATTATCCACAAGAGAATTAGAAGAGCTACTGTAAATGATATCATCAACATAAAGGCATATAATGATGAAATCATTACCTTCCTTCTTCACATATAATGTGGGTTCATTCTCACTTCTCATGTATCCATTTTTCTAGAAGTAACCATCGATCTTGCTATACCACGCTCGAGGGACTTGTTTCAAGCCATACAATGCCTTTTTCAGCTTGAACACCTTTGTTTCATTGCCTTCCTTTATGAAACCTTCAGGTTGAGTTACATAGACTTCTTCTTGTAAGTCTCTATTGAGAAATGCCGACTTGACATCAAATTGGTAAACTGGTCATTTCAACTGTACAACTAATGCTAGAACCAGTCTCACTGTTTCAAATTGAGCTACCGGAGAAAATGTTTCTTCAAAATCAACACCATACTGCTGTGCATAGCCTTTTGCCACAAGACGAGCTTTGTGCTTTTGTAGGCTACCATCTGCAGCAAATTTTGTTTTAAACACCCATTTCAGACCAATTGCGTTTTTCCCTTTTCGTAACTCCATCATTTCCCATGTTCCATTCTTTTCAATGGATTTCATTTCCTCCACCATTGCTTTCTTCCATTCTTCTTTTTCTTTCTGTAGCTTCTTCATAATTTAAGGGATCTGAAATAGAAAAAGCAAATTGACAAGTCGCATAAAGGTTATTAGCATACTTGGAATTTGGCGTTCTAAGCCTTATTGATCTTCTTAATGGAACTATCCCATCTGAAGACTCTTCATGAGTTGCTGAAATCGGTGAGATGGGTAACTCCATGGAAGAACCTGAAAGTGAACTTGCAGGGGTTGACCATTTTTCTTCTTCTTCAGTGATTCCAAGAGGCATATGAATCTCTTGTCGGGCCAACCTTTTACTACATTCCCAGCTTGTATTTTCATCAAATATTACATCATTTCTAACTAAGATCTTTCCATTAAGAGGGTTATACAATCTATATGCTTTGGATTGAATACAATAGCCAATAAAAATGCATTTTTCAGATTTCTCATCAAGTTTTTGACGAGCTTGTGACCAATGCATAAGCAACACATCCAAAAACTCGTAAATGACTTACATTTGGTCTCCTGCAATGCCAAGCTTCATAAGGAGTTTTATTCATGACGGCTTTTGTTGGTGAAACATTCAGTAAGTAAATAGATGCTGCCGCAACTTCTACCCAGAACTGATTCGAGAGTTCTTTTGCTCGCAACATGTTTCTTGTCATCTCCACAATGGTTCGGTTCTTCCGTTCAGCGACACCATTTTGCTCCAAAGTATAAGGAGTTGTTAACTCCCTATGGATACCAATTTTTTCACAAAACTAATTGAATTCGTTGGACACGAACTCTCCTCATCTATCTGTGCGAAGAACTTTGATACTGCAACTACTTTGGTTTTCCACCAAAGTTTTAAATTTCTGAAACTTTTCAAATGTTTCAGACTTGTTCTCCAGAAAATACACCCAACTCATGTGACTATAATAGTCAGTAAGCAACAAGAAATAACGACTTCCACCTAAAGACTTAGTCTGTATAGGACCACATAAGTCAGCATGTATTAGTTCTAAACATTTTGAAGCTCTCTATGCTTTTCCAACAGGAAAAGATTTCCTGGTTTGTTTTCCATAAATGCATCATTCACATAAATCAAGAGAGCTAATTTTCGGTAATCCAAGAACCATATCTTTATCACCTAGTAATTTCAGGCCCTTTATATTGAGATAACCATACCTCAAATGCCATAGCTTCGAGTCGTCCTTTGCATTTGCAGCGAGAGCAAAATTTTCCATGTTAGAAACGTCCAGCGGAAACATATTGTTTGGTGTCTTGGTGATGTGAACCTTTTTTCCCGACTTCTTGTTTGTAATGACACAAACATCATCATCAAACAAAAGAGAATATCCATCAGTTATTAGTTGTCCAACACTTAACAAATTGAATCCTAAATCTGTTACGAATTGAACATCATCCAACATTTTTACTTTGTCGTGGCTAGTGTCTACAACTACCTTGCCTTTTCCTTCAACCTGCATCTCTTTTGTGTTGCCAAGCTGTACCTTTTTATTTTGCTTCTCATCAAGGTCTCTGAACATAGATTTGGCCCCTATCATATGATTTGAACAACCACTGTCTACGAACTATATATCATTTGGCTTATGGTTTGTATCAATGCAAGCCATAAAACGATAATTCTCTTTCTCATTTTCTGGTCTTTAAACCAATAATCAGCCTTTATATGCCTATAGCGGTGGCAGTGATGACATTGAATATCATTCTTTGTGTTGCCTTGCTCATTGGACTGCCTATGCCCATTATTTCTTCCTCTGCCTCTTCCATAACCACGGCCTCGACCACCGCAAAATCCTCATCTTCCTCGGCCTCTACTTGCTGGACCATTATTATCTCCATATTTAGTGGTTGCGTCTTTCACTTGGAATGCCTTTTCTTCGTTCTTCTCTACTGATCGATTGATTCTCGCCTCATGAGCTTGAAGAAATCTCATCAGTTCATCAAAAGAAAAAACTGATAGATCCTTAGATTCTTCGATAGCCGCAACTACGTGATCAAATTTTGGATTCAAGCTTCTCAATACCTTTTCAACAATAATATGATCAGTAACATTCTCTCCATAGGATCGCATTTGATTGACAATTGTCATTGCTCTTGACAGAAAACTAGCAATAGATTCACCATTTTTCATCATCAAGGTTTCAAAGTCACGCCGAAGTGATTGCAGTCTCACCACAATGACCTTTGAATCTCCTTGAAACTCTTTCTGCAGAATAGACCAGGCTTGCTTTGATGTAGTTGCTGTTGCGATTCGTGAAAAAACGCTGTCATAGACAGACTGCTGGATAAATACCAGCGCCTTAGCATCTTTTTTCTTATTGTCTCGCAGCCTATTTTCTTCATCAGGATCTGTATATCCACGTTCTACTAAGTCCCAAAGATCTTGAGACTTGAGTATAGTTTTCATACGTATATTCCATAATTCGTAGCTTTCTCCCTTGAAGACAGGAATAAGTGGTTGTGCCACACTCAATGAACTACCGTTAGTTGCCATAACTGGCTCTGCTGCCAAATTTGTTGGAGAAAAAGTACAGAGAAAACTGGAAATAATAAAAAAGAGAAGGAAAACTGCGACTACTTTTAATTTCTGATTAATTGGAAGTTACAGAATAACAAAATATGCCCACATGATATATAGGCTAAGTGATAAATAACTAATCCTAAAATATAGGTCTTATAACCCACTAAAACACTATTTTAGCAACACTAGAAAACTACCTAACAAAATGTAGAAGACTAGTTCAACCAAACTATCCATATCCTAATTTACGTGTTTCTACTTTGTTTTGAATCACTTTTCAACAAGAATTTCGCTTAGTCAAACGAAAAACCATAAAATGAAAAGAATATTTAAACGTTGAATATGAACATCAATAAGTGCTAAAATGAGAAAAGCATAGACTTGTCTGTGTTGTCCCTCAAACCAATCAAAAGAGAGGGTTGTTTCTTTTGCCATAGTTCTCTCATGTCTTTCCTTTTCCGTCCATATCATTCACTAAAAAAATGTTATTCTTTTCTTAATTCATCCCACTTTAGCCTTGGTTAAGGCTTACTAGCCAACTCAAGATTTAAGTTTT